GGAATTTTCCACTTAAATTTCCAGACACAACCCTGGATAAATCAACCAAACAAGCGCGTGCTGGAGGAAAGTTCATAAATACAGGAAAGGTCAACTGCAGGAAAGAGGCGCGGCAGGAAGTCCTCTGAGTCTCTGCAGGGGGCCTGGCGGGGGGGGGGGGCAGAAGGCGCTGAGGGATGGAGGCCCCCACCGCCCTCTCCCCGCGTTGGCCAGACAGCTCCTCGCATGCCACGGAGGGCGCCAAGTGCGTTCACGGGTCTGTCTCCATCTCAGGCGACCTTTTGGGAAAAGAGCAGCCGTCCCTGGACCCTTCGTTAGCTGTGACTCAGCCTTCACTTTCTCACAGGCAGACTCATGATGTCACGTGGGTTTTGTCGCCGGCTCAGTCACCACAGGAAGGTGAGCCAAAAGGTAACAGGAGGACTCAACACCTGTATTTCACCTTCACGGACCATTCACCTCTCACCCTTACCTCCAAGCCACTCCCCACGCCCTCAGTTTCATCCTGGAGATCCGGGGCCACCCCCAAGGACTGGGGACAAGTCTCCTGTCTAAGCCAAGCTGCTGAAACATGAGCAAAGTAGCAATGACCTTCAGCTCTCCTATAACCTGCCTTTTGTCCACTTCCATCGGCACCGACACCTTCTTTCTTCTGCAGATTTGGACACGAGCCCATCGCCATCTGACATGCAAATTCTGAGTCCTTACCTGCCAGCCTGCATTTCAGCTGCAAAGCCAGGTTAACACAGTCATTTGTATTTTCACCTTTTTCCATCCCTATTATTTCATTAAAAACTAGTGGAAATTAAAAATGAAAGTGCTGAAACTACTAAAAACAAAATTGAGAATGAGATGGGAATCGCTGGGTTTTCAAAATGGCAAATGGTTCGCCGAGGTTTATTTACACAGCTTCATCTTTAGCAGCTTAGCTATGCGTTCAGTTGCTGAGATAAAATATTAAAGAATGTGTACAAACTAGTGGAAATGCGCATTTTAAGGACTGCATTGAGGGCCTGTGTATGTGGTCATTCATTTATAAATGTTAGTCGCCAAGGAATCCTGCAGGATCCTTTTTCTGAAATTCACATGCACACCAGGCCCCCTTTGAGAGGACACATCCCAGGGTCTTGCCCTCTGTCCTGACACTGGGGCTTCTCTGTCTCTCTTTACCCTCTGAAGGGAATATTCCCAAAACAGAATGGGTGGGATTCCCAAAATTTTCACCAAGCCGCAAGCCAGAGACCACCCACTCACTGTGGTCCAGATTTTACTGCCTGGAGGGCAGTCAAATGGCCAGAGATAGTGCCACCTGCTCTCGGGGGCTCGAATGCTGAGACTCATGCTCAGTGGGTGTTCAGGAGCGTTCAGAGCCAGGAAGTTCATGAGGGCCTTGCAAAGAGGTGATGCCCTCAAGAAGCAGCTGTGATGAGAAGGAGCAAACAGACACAGGTCTTCTCAAAGGTACACAACAGCAAGCTTCGAGCAAACGGCCCCTGCAATGCATCCTGGTTTAACTGTGAGCTGCCCCAGGACCACCAACTCTCCGTCATGGGGTGAGGACCCCTACGCTGGCCTCCCTGCCGCTGGCCGTGAGGTCACAGGGCGTGTGCTGCAGCAGCTGGACTGGAGAAGAGGGTGGCCACCTTCTGGGTGGCATGCGGTATCTGACTTTTTTCCAAAACTTGGTCTTGGCACACTGGGACTGCTCTGTGAAGTCCCCGCTCCACTGGACGGCCCCATGCTTCTGCCTGATGTACTGAATTGACTCCGGCAAGGCTGTGTAGTCCTCGACCTTCTCCAGCTCAATCAGGATGACCTTTATCCCGTCCTGGATGAGAGCATTGTAGATGGCGATCTGTTCTTCTGACATGTTCCTTAGCAGGTCAAAGCTCAGGGCTTCAGGAACTATGATGACAATCAGTCTTCTGCACAACTTAATGTTCTCGTCAATGACACTGACCACAGCTGGAAACACAGAGAGAAGACTCAGAGCATCTCATGATTAAAACAGCCACAGACCAAGAACTACTCAGAATAATTTTATCACGCCTGATTCTGTATCTCCAAACTTAGCTAAAGGTCTGGTATATAGTATATGATAAATTACATATCATATTATAAATTATATGATAAATACTTTTATTTTTTAAATATTATTTGATTTTTTAAATATTAAAAATGTTTTTATTTAAAAATGAAAGTTTTTATCTCTTTGAATATGTATGTGGCACATTCATTTGAATATTACATATTCAAAGCGATAGATTTACATTATATGATAAACACTTTTATTTTTAAATAAATGGAATTTTGAAGGCTAGGACACATGTCGTTAGCTCAAATGTTGTATTAATCTTCATTACCAAATAACATATCCTAATGATTTCTTGGGAAGGAGAGGGGAGAATTCTTGAGATATCCAACTATGGATAAAATTTGGTCTTTTTTAGAAATAAAGATCAAGTTTTACATCCTCCTTATTCTTAGGATATGAGAAGAGACTGTCACCTCCCCAAGAGTATGTTCTTCTTCTCTTTGGTTTATTTTAATATTGTCACTGCCTGGAACATTACCCGGCACACAGCAGGTGCTCAATAACCATTTGTTGACTAAGTGAATGAGTGAATGTTGACATGCTTCTGAAATGAGAGCTCTTCCATATGTTTCCGACAAGCACTGGATCGAATGTTCATTTTCTCAGGGAGGATGATTTCACAGCTTACAAAGATGTGGACTGAAGCAGGCTTGCAGTCTCCCCATGTGCATGAGCATTCTACAGATGCAAACTACTTAGAAACCTTTTTAAATGATCCAGAGCAGGCCACTAAGTAGGAATCCTGGCTTCCTGGTGACCAGAAAAGGATATTTATTTCAAATACTAGCTGTTCCCTACATAGCCCTCTACAAAAGAGAAGGACAGGTTAAGAGGGAACTTTTTATCTATCGAGTGTCCAGTATGTACTAAGCTCCACAGTGGTCCCTGCCCAGGTTTTACCTGATTCAATTCTCTCGTCTAAGTCAGTGAAACATTCTTACCCCCATTTGACAGATCAGACAACTGAGGTTCAAAGGTATTAACTGCAATGCCCGAAACCACACTTGTAATAAGTGGGGAAGTAAATAAATAACTTCTGTTTTATTTAGGTAGGGGAGGATTGGAGGAGGCTGAGGTTTATAAAACCAGCTTTAAACATGAGCTTATTTACATATGCAAAGAGATAGAAAACACTCAGCAGATAGTCTCAAGGATGGGACAGCAAATGGCCAGTTGTCTCCTTTCAGTCTCTTGGCCACGGCTGTGTGTATGTCATTACCAGCTGTTCATGCAAATGGGTCAACCACATCCTTACTCGAAGTGAAAGTCACATAATTTCAACCAGGAATCCCAGGCATCCTGTGTAGGAGTGAGCCTGATGAGACAAGAGAACTTGGTCCTGAACTCCTCGGCTCAGAGGTTGTGGGGTGGGAGGCGTGATTCTGTGGGGAAGGCGAACAGAGTCCCCACCGTTTGTAAAATGAAGGAAGAGAGAGGATCCTTTCCATTTTGTTCATTTGTTGTTTTTAGACCTCACTGAAAACATACCTTGTCCAGGAAATTCATCCCTGCCAAATATAAACAACTTGTATCCACACTGCCTCTCCAGCACCTCGGGCAGAATCTTCAGCACCAGTGTGTCCACGTCATGGCTCTGGCTTTCTCTTTGAGGCTTGGGGTATAAGACGTATGCATCATACAGCTTCCCATCTGAAAAGGAAATGGGACAAGCTCGTGAAATTATCTTATGTTAATAGAGTGAAAACCTGAGTTGCTACCATGATGTCCTTTTTGCTCCAGTTCAGTGACTTCAGAGTGCCCATTGGCTGACTTGGTGCCAAGCACTGCATCTCATTCTTTCAACACTAAATTTTCACTCCACTTTCTTCTTGCATGGTTTTTGAGAAGTTGAATGTTATTCACATCATTAGTGTTTCAAATATTTCTGTTCCTCCTTTCTTCTCCTACTGGTACGCCCACAACATGTATGTTACCCGCTTTGTAGTTTTCTCACGCTCGTTGGATATTTTGCACTTCTTTTTTCAGTCTTTGTTCTCTCTGCTTTTCAGTTTGGGAGGTTTCTACTGACATATCCCCAAGCTCAGAGATCCTTTCCTTAGCCATGTCCAGTCTATTAATAAGCCTATCAGAAGCATTCTTCATTTTTCTTATAGTTTTTTTCTTTTTTTAATAATCACTAGCATTTCGTTTTGGTTATTTCTTAGGATTTTCATTCTCTGATCATATTGCCCATCTGTTCTTGCAAGCAAAATATTTGAAACACTAATGATCAAGAGTCTCTCCAAATTAATGTCAGACACCAAACCACAGATCCAGGAAGCTCAAATAACACCAGTTAGGATAAATACCAAGAACACCAGTTAGGACAATACCGAATAAAACCAACAAAGAAAACTACACCTAAGCATACTGTTTTCAAACTACAAAATAAAAGGTAAGGAAAAAAAAAAAAGATCCTGAAAGAAGCCAGACAAAAAAAGACACTTCACTTACAGGAAAACAAAGATGTGAATGACATTCAACTCTCCCTTGCATGAGTTTTTGGCGTTTTCATCCTAACATGCATTGAAGACACTAGGAGAAAAGCCACATGAAACATGCTTTTCTATTTACCATGAGAACATTGTTGCAGACTAGGTTCATGACATCATACACTTTGAAGAGGAGGTCTCCCTATTAAAAAACTTTCCTCGGAGATTGCCCCAGAAAAAGCCACGTGCTTTCACGAGCAATTGAAAGGTTTGTATGAACAGCACCATGAACCTTGTCATGGCTTTGTCTTCACTTCTAAAGCCAGGGCATCTTTAAAAACTATCCAAGGTGGGTTTAACGACTCTCCCCCCAGCTTCTTTTACCAATCTACCCTTGGGTCACTGGACCTATTTTTTTGTTTTTAATTGTCTGTTGTATACGTATATTCCCCACAAATAAAGTGAGGCATATACAGGTCTCTTCATTAGATTTGTCAACCAATCCTTGTATCTGTGTACACACATACACTCCTGGAAGAAGAATTTTTAAAGCACCTCCTGTGATTTAATAGACAATATACAAAACTCGTGGACTTTTGCCAGGCCTGTCCATGACTCTTAATAAGACAGATGATTGGATTAAAGAAGTTCTGGAAAAAAAACAAAAACAAACAAAAAAAGAAGTTGTGGTATATGCATGCGATGGAATACTACTCAGCCATAAAAAGGAATGCTATGATGCCATTTGTAGCAACATGGATGGGCCTAGAGATGATCACACTAAGTGAAGTAAACAGGCAAAGACAAATATTACATATTATCACTTATATGTAGAATCTAAGAAAGTGATACAAATGAACTTATTTCCAAAACAGAAACAGACTCACAAACATAGAAAACAAACTTATGGTTATCAATGTAGGAAGGAGGGAAGGTAGAATTAGGAATTTGGGATTAGTAGATGCAAATTACTATATACAAAATAGATAAACAACAAGGTCCTAATGAATAGCACAGGGAACCACATTCAGTACCTTATAATAACCTATAATGAAAAAGAATTTGATAAAGAATATATATATATATGTAACTAAATCACTTGCTGTACACCAGAAGCTAGCACAACATTGTAAATCAACTAAACCTCAACAAGAAAAAAATTTTTAAAAAAAACTAAGTTATACACATCTAACTATTAATCTTATGTGGGGCTGGACTAATCTGGTTAGAACTGACAGCTGATCCTGAGGACACAATTCCTCTCTCTTCCTCATTTGTCTTTGCCATCCATTACTCCACATGTTCCTGTAGAACCAGAAAATCTCCTCAAGGGACACAAAGCTGGAAACAGCATCTGAGACCCATCTCAGAGTCTCATCATTCACTGCCCAAGTCACACTCAAACGGAAATCGGAGGCCAGTTCTCAGACTGAGTGGTAGCAAATTTAATCACAAAGGACGCATGTGCTTTTCTGACTGGGGGAAAAAAAAAGAAGACGGCTGGCTGGCTGTAGGTTCCCATCCCCAAGGCCTCAGCCCACTGGTTCCGAGAATTTGAGCAGCAGCCCTGTGTGAGCAGAGGGTGGTGCTCCCCGAGTCACTCATCCGTGGTCACTCATCCGCCTGGCTTCCCCTGCTCGGTCAGGCGCGATTCCTTTTTTCTCTTCCTGCTACACGTGACCTCACTAGCAGGCAGCATCACCAGGCACTCAGCATCCACGATCCTGGGATCCCAGTGAGTCAGGGCCAGAGTTCCGGGAGCACCCCCAGGCCCAAGCAGTCCCCTGTCAGTCAACAGCCAGAGCAGCGCTGAGTCAGAAAAGACAGGCTGCCCTGACGTCTCTCTCAAGCAGATGCTGGAGGAGCGCAGGCGGGGGCGGCAGCGGGGGTGCTTCCGCGGAACAGCCCTGCAGGGACCACAGCCCGAAACAGGAGCCCCGCAGCCCAGCCCACCGCCCGCGGCACCAGCAGAGCTTCCGGCTGCATCCCATGTGCAAAGCTGACTTTTCCACCGGGGAATTTTGCCATCAAAAAAGAATTCATTGCTTTCCAGGCCTAAGAGCCTCCAATTCTGAATTCTGCAATTTAACTTAAACTCCAGGTTCAGACACCTATGCTTTATCAAACGTGTGAACAAACACGTGGTTTTTATATGCAAAGCAGGCACGTTGTGTAAATAACGTTCTTCTGGGAAACAAGGATTCATAAGACGTGTGTGGACACCCACTTCCCTGAGTTCCTGTGAGCATCGCAAGTCTCTGGGCTTGAAAGGGAGACCTCTGTGCATCTCCGTGCAGGAGAGCTGCACAGACCTCTCTCAGGCGTGTCTTAATTTCTCCATCCAATTACGGGACATTAAACAGATGTATTACTTTTTCAAGGCCTTGATAGATCACATCCACTCAGAGACAAAAAGAAAATAGCACGGAGTTCAAGGCAGAATGTCAGATTCGGGATCACACTGGGACACGTCTGTAGTGACCAGAGCCGGCAGGACACGGCTCCCAGACCAAGGTGAAGCCCCAGGCACCCCGGCAGGGGCAGCTTGCTTGGACCTTCAGACAACAAGGGGTATGTGCTGGGACCCTCAATGCTTTCCTGAATTTCGACCCAGCTACTCCTGCAGGACTGTATGAGGCAGACTCAGATCACTGTCCCTTCTCCTCTGCCCGCCTTCCTTCCTCCCTTCTATAGCCAAGAAAGAGAAGAGAATTTCCTGTCTAAGATCACACAGAGAGTAAGTGGAGAACTCAGGTTCAAACTCGCTGTCTCTCTCCAAACTTGAGAATTGGAGGCTTAAACTTTGTCACGCGCCAAGTCTGAGCCCTGAGGAGCTGCGAACACCGGCAGCCCCTCACCCTCCGGAATGTAACTTCTGTGCCCGCATCCACTGTGTTTGACGAGAGCTCACAGATAGAGCACACTGGGCTCCAGGAGAGTCTCTTCTTTTGCAAACACCAGTGGATGTGAGAACTTTTCTAAAACAGTTGCAGTGGGAGCCAGAAGATGATCTCCTTCTGCCACTTGATCACTCCTAACCTGAAAGCCTTATGTAACTAAACAATGCTGGTGGCTATGGGCAAATCACTTCTCTGAAGTTTGAGAGGTTCCAGGGAGATCATTTTCTCTAAATGTGCCAACAGCAGGAAAGGCAAGCTAGTAAACATGATCAAGTATATTTACAACGGTTATACGGACAAGCGGACACCTTCACAAAGCATGTTTCAGTGATTACCCGCACTCACCTTCCACGGTCCCTGGAGAATGGAAGGCACTTCGATACCAAAGTACGAT